CCTGGCTACGAAAACTGTGCCCTTTCTCCATTGGACTTTGGTGATAGCTTTAGTGGCATCAGTGGTCTCCAGTTTTCAGCATTCGTTGGAGATAAGCCTGTCATCTGGTTTATTGACAACATCAAAATGAACTGGTATAACAATTCCTGTACTGCTGGCTTAGAGCGCTTGCGATCACGTTGATGGATCTCTGATACCCCTACGGAATCAAAGAGCGAAGCGAAGGTCACACTTGTCCAATTATTTTCGAGAAAATTATTTGATTTTATTAAGCGCTTGATGTAGATCTTATGGTTCATATATTTTAGATGGAAGGCTCGTTTTGTTACTGCTTTCAAATACCCCTTTTCAACTGGTAAATCGGGATCAGAAACCGATGTGGAAAATTATGTATTGCACAGTTGCTATTAACTAACTAGTTGATGCCTGATGTTTCAATTTCGACAACGCCGTTGATAGCTATGGAAAAACGGTTATTAGTTAGCTATTCATCATATGCTGCAGAGTGTCAGCGCAGCTTTCAACATATTATATAAATAAGGAGTATTTCATCTCCAGTGCACAAAAGCATGTAAACTACAGATACTTGAGCCTTTGAATTTTTGTTGCCTAATCCAACTTTCACCTCAGTGTTCGGATTAACCAACATAATCCACTCTGGAGTGAGCAGTTCAAATCAAATAACTAACAACTCTTAAATCTTTTCTAATTAATTAATCAACTGCAATATATGAAAAATTTTTAATTATTACTATAAAATTTTAATTAAATTCAATTATGAATATTGTTAATTTTTTTAATATATATAAATAAATTAAATAAATTTTTTATTCATAAATTTTAACATATAATAAACTTAGATAAAAGTAAAAAAAGTGAAAATATTAAATACTTTAATATTTATAAAGATTTTATCAGAGTTTTATATAAAAATTAACTTTTTAATATACTTTATTAATGAAAAAGATCATCTGTACTTTTATAAAAAATAATGAATATCTAATTCAAAATCTTTTAATATAAGAATTATATAAGATATTTATAATTTTTTAGTTTCTAGTTAAGTATTCAAATTATGAAGTTAACTAACTAATAAGTTTAATTAATTAGTTAATTATAATTATTTAAAATTGTAATAATTATAGCTTCAGTATTATTTCATAAAAATTCTAAAAAAAAATACTAAAACTTATATTAATTTTTAAAAGTAATAAATATCAAAATATCAAAATATCATAATTATTATAAATTATCTTAATAAAAATATTATTTTATATTATTATATTATAAGAAACTATATTTTATTTCTTTTATTACTTAAATTTTATTTATATATTTTATTTTTACTATTTTTTTATAATTTTTTCATCTTTAATTATAGTTATATAAATTTTTATTATTTTTATATAATTTTTACTTTATTATTAAGAATTTATTTTAACATAATTTTTTCCTTTTCTATCAATTTTTATTTTTTATTTTTTATATATATTAAATATCAACTATTTTCAATAACTAATTTATTATATGTTTAAATAAATATTACAATAGTCATAAATATCTTTTTTAAAAACTTATTTTATTATATATAAGATTTTTTTCTTCTATAGTATAAGATTATAAAACTTAATTCATTAATATTATATAAATTTATATCTATTAACTTTTTATAAATAGAATATTATTTATTTACTATTTATTATTTTAAAACTAATAAAGCTTCTGAGTAAATAATTCAAATAGTTAATTTTTTAAAAATTTTTATAATTATATATAAAATAACTAAAATAATTTTTTTTACTTTAGAAATTATCATTAATGATTATGAAATTATTATATCAGAAGTAAGTTTATTTTTTTACTTTATAAATAATATTAAAGTTATAGTTAATAAAATATTTATTTAATTTAATAATTATTATAATATTTTTAATAAGATTATAAAATCTTATTAATTTTTAATTAATTAAGTTAATTATATAATTAACTATAACTAGTTAACTAATAGTTAATTAAATATATACTTACTAAAAAATAATTAAACATTAATTATTACTTTAAATCACATGTAATTTTATATATTATATATATAAACTAGTTAATTTTTTCTAATATAAATTTTTTTAAATATTTTAATAATTTATTTACTATAAAAAATTTTTAATAAATTTATTTTTTATATATATAAAATATTATAATTATATTTATTATTATAATTATAATATAATTAAAAGATATTTATAATATTAATAAAATTAAATTTATAATAAATTTTACATAGTTAATTAACTATTAAAGTTAATTTTATTATTAGTATTATAATTAAATATAACTTATATATTTTAAAAAATTAAAAATTATAAATTATAAATAAAATAATTAATATATTTAAACTAAATTAAATTTTTATAATTTTTTTAAAAAAGTTAAAATATTTAAAATAAAAAATAATAATTTGTTAAATAATTAAAATATTTAATATTAATTAATTAATAATTAAATTATAAATTAAATATAAATTAAATAAATTATTAATTTATTTATTTTAATAATAAATCTATAATAAATTAAAATTATTTATTTTTTAATTTAATTTTAATTTTAAATTTAATAAAATTTATATAATTTTTTAAATTAATATATTTATTATATCTTTTATAGTTTATAGATATAAGTATTTTTATAGTTTTTAAGTATATATATTACAATTTAGCTGAGTAGTAAATGTGACTTGAGTTTAATACTATTAAAAAATTTAATTTTTTTTTCAAAGATCTATTTTAAGACTCAATAAAATTTTTGATTCTTCACATCTTTAGAGCTATTGATATGATCTTATTTAAATTAGACTGAGTTCAGTAGCTTAATATATAAACTTTATAGATTTACTCTTTTTACTTGTCAGACTCACATTAGGAGTTGTTCTTAGTTTTTCAAAACATCTAGCAATCCCTGTCAGTTATGCTGGAAGGTTGAATAAGGTCAAAATCTTATGAGATAGAGGCTGGAATGTTCAGAGTCAATAAAGATTTTGATTAAATTATCAAGATCTGTGAGTATAAAATGTTCAATACTACTATTATAAGAAGTAATACCGGGATATATTTGCTATGAATGAGAAAGAGAAGCAAAAACATCAAAGATCTAATTGCGGAATTTAATGTGAAGAGGATTTAACAAGAGAAGAAACTGCTGAGCCTGCTCTTTCACCTTCAGAGCATATAAAATAGCCTGTCATTCAATCACTTAGCCTGCCGGCAGCAGAGCCTTAGCCACGCTCATAAGCGCCACAAAGGTGCAGCAAATTTTGGTACACTTGGGATGAGGGGCATCTGAGTCTTGTATGCCCATGGCAATCTAATAGTTATTATTATAACGCCCCACTGCTGTCCCCAGATACCAGTCCCACCCGGATTGCTGTCGGGAGACGAGAGGTAGGGTAGGAGGGTACGTGGATCGGTGCTGTTTGCTATCTGTTGTCCGCTGTCCGCTGTATACAGCATGCAGTATGCTGTACGTGGTTGATTTGGGAATGTAGATATCGATACTCGTCAGATTATGTGATGATTGTTGTAGTTTTGTCACAAAGAGAGGGATCAATGGCAAGATCTTATTTAGTTAAAATTTATAGATATTGAATTGGAGGTGAAACGCAGACACTCTTTATATATCTATTATATATATATATATATATATATATATACGTACAAGGATGAGGATAAAGTTTATGTCCACTATGCAGGTGTTCAAAGCTTCTGAATTGAATATGAGATAAATTGTTATTTGTCGGTTGTGTACATAACTAACTTGTTAACTATTTCAAGTAATTTAACATAATTATTGCTGCTGAGTGTAGATATTCTGGGTTGAAATCTTGTTCGTTATTCGATTATTGATGAGTTCAGTGGGGGGGGTGATCAGCTCAGTGGGGAATTAGATGACTAACTAGTTACATTAATAGATTAACTATAACTGGTTAACTACCTTAGTGAACAAGATATCTATTTCAACATTAGCCTCACACTCAAATAATAATAATAGTGACATTGTTTGCCTCCAAATTTTAAACGATGGATGTCTAGAATGTTCCGACAATCATCACGCCACATCAAATCATTGCCATTCTTTTAATTGAGGATGTCATTGCCTACTAGTTCCCTACTACCCACATGTCGGTGGCAACCCCAAGCCCGGATAGCACCGCATCTCTCGGAAGCGAGAACTTAGCGGATACACTCGCGAATAGGAGCGCAAGCTCCTTAGCTGCTCATGCCCCGCAGAACCATGTGCACCACGGTTGAACCGAATTGTAGCCGAGCTAAAGGTGCTGTTGAAGCTGATTTCATTATATTCTTGTGAGAACTGCCATGGGAAGGGGTTACAAGGTACTACTGTTGAAAATAGAAACTCCCTCAGAGTCAATTGCGTTGCCAATGCCAGGGATTCCCAAAGGAACAACTGTGCAGATTGATGAACTATGTGGATTTCATTTTCAAGATATCTGATCTTTAACAACCCAGAATACTTGGGTTGGGCGTATTGCCGATATGAATATATATATAAAAAAAAAAAAAAAAAAAACCAAGATAAACATCATGGAAACCTTGGATTGATTCACAAGCTTTCTTATATGATCAGTTCAGTTCAGTGCCCCCTTGGTTGTTAAGTACGCCTCCAGCTGCTAGCCGTTCCCTAGCTCTCTATCCCCGCAAAAAAAATACCCAGGAAGTACTACATACACTGTCCGGACTTGGGGGTTGGGAGAGGGGAAAATAAATAATAAAACCGCAATCTAATGCTCCTCTTTTCATATTCTGGTAGGATATTTTCCTAGCAAAGGAATATGGGCATGGCCTTAAAAAATGCAGTAACCCGCAGTTTCTTCAATGATTATCTTCTTGATCCTCGACCTGACTTTGTTCTCAATCTAGTCGCTACACAGCGTCTCTTCCATGTTGAGAAGGCCAAGTTAACGAATTGATCTGCTCAATCGCATGAAAATGGCATCCAATCAGAAAAGGAACACTGATTTCGTGGCCGGTCAGGAGGGTTCATTGGCGCAGGAGTTAGAAAAAAATCAAGTCCATTTATCCCTTCGTGCAGTTCAGCCTGTCAACGTCAGCGTCCGAGATCTAGTCGTGCATATCGATACAACCCCTCCGCTATTTCAGAGCTCCCCACGATTGCTCTGGGACCGCATCCGACGCAAGACTGATTTCCCCATGAAGACTGTTTTGCATGGCATCTCTGCGGACATGCCTCAAGGTAGCTTGACAGCGATAATTGGTGGCAGCGGTTCGGGTAAAACAAGCCTTTTGAATGCTATATCTGGTCGGATGAACCTAAGCCGTGTCAAGATGGCTGGCTCGACGACCTTCAATGGCAGCTTAAATGTCAATAGCATTAGTAGCGCGTACGTGATGCAAAATGACATCCTCATACCGACCTTGACAGTGCGGGAAACTCTCCAATACTCAGCTGATCTGAGGCTTCCTCCTCCCACCACCCAAAAGGAGCGACAGAACGTAGTCGAAAAAGCTATCCTGGAGCTGGGTTTGAAAGAGTGTGCAGACACACGAATCGGAAGTTCGGCGCACAAAGGGTGTAGTGGAGGGGAAAAGAGGCGCACCAGCATTGGTGTCCAGTTGCTGGCGAATCCGTCAGTTCTCTTTTGCGATGAACCGACAACAGGTATGTTTTACCGTCAGCCGAAGAACGCCTTTCCTTAACGCGCTTGCATAGTTAATTCATGTCCCGACTAAACCATGCTCAGGTTTGGATGCCACGAGCGCCTTTCAGATCATTAGAACCCTGAAGAGACTGGCTCAAGATGGAAGAACAATCATAATATCAATTCACTCTCCTCGATCTGAGATATGGGGTCTTTTTGACCGTGTGGTGCTTTTGTCTCGCGGGTCTGTCCTATACAGTGGAACAGCAGCTGGGTCCCTAGATCATTTCGCAGAATGTGGCTACCATCTTCCACCCTTTGTTAACCCAGCAGAGTTCTTAATCGATTTGGCTGCGTACGACAATCGTTCTGAAGAAGCCGAATTAGCATCATCGGCACGTGTCGAGGCGTTGAAAGATGCTTGGATAGCCAGAACGAGCAAGATTAACATCAAGAAATCCAGTTCACTCTCTTCATCTGATCAACAGGCTGATGTCGCGCGACAAAAAAAAGTCGATTTTTATCGACAGTTCCGAGTGCTGACAGCCCGAACTTTTAAAATGACAATCAGAGATCCCATGGGAGTAGCTGGTAGTTTCTTCGAAGCCATCAGCATGGCTGTCATCACAGGTTGGATTTTTCTTCAGTTGGATACGAGCCTGGCAGGGATACGTTCGCGGCAGGGAAGCCTCTATATCGCCAGTAGTTTAAATGGCTATTTAATTTTGATATATGAGACATTTAGACTTACAACCGATATTCAACTATTTGATCGAGAGCGAGTTGAGGGAGTGGTGGGTGTTTCATCACTTTTACTGAGCCGGCGGGTTGCACGGATTTTCCTTGAAGACCTACCAGTGCCCATTTTATTCTCTCTAATATTTTACTTCATGGTCGGATATCGCCTTCAAGCAGCTGAATTTTTCATCTTTCTCGCGCTGAATATTCTTACGCAATATACTGCCGTCATATATGCGTGCATTTGCATTGGAATATCTAGACATTTCCCGGGTGCCAGCTTGGTGGGGAACCTGTCTTTCACACTTCAATCTGTTGCCTGTGGATACTTTGTGCAGTCAAACCAGATCCCCGTTTACGTGAGATGGCTGAAATGGATCACATATTCATTTTATACGTTCGGGGCCTTATGTACCAACGAATTTATCGGTCCGCGTGGCCCTCCTTATGGCCAGTTTTACGACTGCCCATATTCGGACAATCCAGCAGATCCCCGCTGCAAAGAATATACTGGCAAGTTCATTATCTCCAGTCTCGGATTTCCACCAAACTGGATCTGGCGACCGATTTTAATCATGCTCTCTTTCATAATCGTCTTCTATATTGATGCTACTTTGATACTTCAATTCAGGAAATTTGATATGGATGTTGCTCAAGCTATAAATACGGACGGAGACCTTTCCGCCGGAAAGGAAAAGCTAGTTCCTCGATCGACGGAAGACGTTCGAAAAGTTTCCATTCTCCTTGACAAATATACGTTAGAGATACAAAAAAGATCGTTGGGAAGGCGAGGATTCAGGTCCGACCGCTTAAGCATATTGAAGCCGATATCAACCGAATTTCAACCAGGACAACTCAATGTCATCATGGGACCATCCGGAAGCGGGAAATCCTCCCTGCTATGTTCTATCTCCAGGAGGCTTCACGGTTCGTTTGGAACTCGATACCGCATTGGAGGCGGTATGTTGTACAATGGTGCGGTGCCTTCAGAAAGCGTAATCAGATCCGTCTCATCGTTTGTGGCTCAAGATGATGATGCTCTGATGCCATCGCTAACGGTGCGTGAGAGTCTCCAGTTTGCTGCCGGCTTGAGACTTCCTTCCTGGATGTCAAAAGGAGAAAAGAACCGCCGTGCTGAGGACATACTTCTGAGGATGGGTCTGAAAGATTGCGCAAACAATTTAATTGGTAGTGACCTGATCAAGGGAATTAGTGGTGGTGAAAAACGAAGAGTGTCCATTGCCATACAGATCTTAACAGACCCGAAGGTTTTGCTCCTGGATGAGCCTACTTCCGGTCTGGATGCGTTCACGGCCACCTCTATTATTGAAGTTTTGAACGGTCTAGCAGCTGAGGGCAGGACTCTCATTCTCACAATACACCAATCCAGATCCGATATTTTCCATCATTTTCACAATATTTTGTTGCTTTCGAGGGGTGGTCACCCTGTCTACTCAGGAAAAGGAGAGAATATGCTCTCTCACTTTGAGCGTCTCGGATACCCCTGCCCCAATACCACAAATCCTGCTGATTTTGCCTTGGACTTGATAACGGTGGACCTCCAAGAGCAAACGAGGGAAGCCATAAGTCGTGTCAGAGCACAACGTTTGATTACGGATTGGGCGGAAAAGCCGCTTGAATTAACCCGTCAGACATCAGTGATCACGACCCCAGCTGAGCTTGGGAGCCTAAAGCGACAAATCAATCCGTTTTTAGTTATTTTGCCTCTGGTCCTGCATCGATCGCTCAAAAATCTGCGGAGACAACCACGCCTTATCGTTGCGCGAAGCATGCAGGTGATCGGCATGGCAGTGATTACGTCGCTGTTCTTTGCCCCCTTGCAGAACAATTATGAGGCTGTCCAATCGAGGATGGGTGTTCTCCAGCAGTTTGCTGCTATGTACTTTGTTGGTGAGTAAATGCGGTTCCTCTGAAAACGACACCTAAAATACAAACTACTAACGTATTTCTCGAAAAAAGGGATGTTACAAAACATTGCAATATACCCCAACGAAAGAGATGTGTTCTACCGCGAACAAGAGGACAGCTGTTACTCCGTCGAGGCGTTCATGGTGCAATACACTATCCTTGAAGTTCCATTCGAAATTTTCTCCTCACTGATTTTCGGTGCCTTAATGGCATTCGTCGTGGGAATGCAACGGACGGTGAAAATGTTTCTTATCGCTGCCTTCAACTGCTTTTGCATAGTTAACTGCGGTGAATCACTGGGGATCATGTTTTGCACGTTATTTTCTCACGCCGGATTTTCCGTAAATGTTACTTCCATTCTTCTTTCAATAGCCAACATTCTCGGCGGGATAATGAGCCTCAACATTCCCGCTGTTCTCCAAGCGCTCAATAGCCTTTCTCCTATCAAGTATGCTATTGCGAATCTGGCTTCTTACTCCGTGACTGGCCATCGTTTTACTTGCAGTGATTTCCAACGTTTACCCGATGGCCATTGCCCAATAGAGACCGGTGAACAGGCACTGAAGCTGTATAATTTAGACAAGAATCCTGAGATGAATCTGGTGGCTTTGGGCGTTTGCACAATAATTTATAGGATGGTGGCGTATGGGCTGTTGAAGGCTTATAGATCGCATGGATTTTGGGAGAAGATTAGGATGCTGTTTCGAAGGAAAAGACGGCCTGGACATAAAGGAAATGACATAGAGATAGTGGGATAGAGAGGCTATCTGCAGGGTAAACAGTCAGCTCTTCCTTGACCGTTGATGGATATAGTTGTTGTTTGTATATATTGGATTCTTTCCCGTTTATTCTCCGTCATTATACGAATGTCGTTCGTTCATTGGCTTCATCGGCCTTTTGCTATCTATTGCGTATGTGCGAAAATACTGGTATCAGAGGTTCCAATAACGGTTACTTATCATCTTCTGCGATTGCCCACTGACAACGGAGTATAGGCACTGAAAAGCCAATGTCTTCACGCTGCGCTTCCAAAATCATGTCGGAACAGTTCAGTAGTCAGAGTGCTGTGAAGTGTTGGATGTATTAGAACTGCATCCAATTCATACCCAGATGTTAAAAGTCAAGCAAGGCCCAAAATCACGTTTGCACTCTGTGATGGCACTGAACTTCTCGCTCTCTCTCAATCCATATTTCACTGGGTGACAATGCTCAAGGCGTAGATGAAGTCATTCCTGCTAGACAGAGGGTAACTAGTTAACTAACTTAACTAAAGAAAGTGTAGGATGGACTTCATCGCCTGAGGGCTGTGATCTAGAGTAATTAATAGCGTAGTATTTCTGTGATAACCCTTGTGGGATCTGTTGCCGACTTGAGCAGATGCTTGCCTATCTAATATCTGCGACAAGGAGCTTCGTTACAGACTTGGGGCGCTTTATGTTGGCGTAGGCGACCGCCGTCGCCCCGAGCGGCCCTGCACGTGATTCCGCGCAACCAGTTTATGGGAACTAGCTAGCTTTTCCCTCCAATAACTGCATTATCAACCATCCCACAGGTTACAACCCGGTTAGTGTACCTTATCTTAAATAATTGACGCGATTTTTCATAAAAATAACATTGTGTGAACATCAGGTGAGTTCAATCTAGAGAAGATAAGCAGTTATTCACAGGGATTCTCATTATTTTGCGCGTGCAGAGGAACCGTTTTGGCCTGCGTGAGCATGATAAACAGTAGCCTCTGAGAATGCCCAACGAGCTATTCTAGTTTTTCATGTCTTTTCAAAAGATTCTCAAGTCCGGAGACCAATTAGCGGACTACTCTCTACCTCACACTCTGAATGAAAACAATCACTGAGATCATTCTCAAATGCTTCTGAAAAATCTACAGTTGAGGAAGACAAAGAGAGCATCTCAGATTCACAAGAAGAGGAGCTTACCCAGTTTTGATATGGCTGAAAAAGAAGACACCATGGAGGGCCCTAAGTGATCATGGCCGCCAGCCAGGCACTGATTCCCTGAGAGAACGCCCTGTCTTAAAATGCCCATCCCATTGCCTACACCTGGTGCAAACAGCACAATTAGGATGACTGCTGCAGGTCTGCTTGCATTCTGCCAACAGATGATGATGGCCACACGGCAGGATTCTCCTAGCAACAACAGTGGTAACTACCCCTGTAGATGACTTAAGGCAGGAGGTCCGTGAATACCTGAAGAAGGGTTAAGGTGTCATTAGATACAAAAACCGTGACTACATTCAATGAATCCAACTATCAGGCGTGAAGGTTGGGATCTTGGCGGATGTGGAGGTCATTGATGGGATTGATATCTTGACCAAAAAAACAGTACACAGTGCCTTAAGATGGGACGTCCTTGGAAAAGGAGAAGTGCACAGTCTGTACAAAACCCTAATGCATAGGAGTTGCGATCCACCTGTGTGGATGATAATTGGAACATTGGAACCTGACAACACTGCAGCTCTTTGAGAGAAAATTTGCACAGAATATGCCATTTCTCTTGCTGAGGAGCGTACAAATGTCATCAGAGAATTGGCGACATTGATTGCACGTTAAAGATATTGACAATCTCCTTTTGGCACCTCAACCTAGTGCCAATGCTGCAATCCCGCTCTCAACTACAGCAACTGCAGGCGTCTCAATACGGTCATGATTACGGCCTGTAGTCGGCATATAGACATCCATTTTCATAACTCGCTTGCGCAGTTGAATGAGGGATTTATTTCTTTGAATTAGATTCCCCACGGAGGATATGACGGCAGATGGTCTTGCAAAACCCCCAGACATAACTAGCAGCTTTTAGATGTTTCTGCAAATTACTAGGGATTAACAGGCAAAATAGGAGAGAATAATAAATTTTCATATGTAGCCATGTTTTCGATGGGATCTAGGTTTGAACAGCCAGCTTCAAGAGTCCTCACGGCGGCGTCGGGGGTGGCGTTGGTAACTAGGCGAACGCCGCCGCCCCGAGCGGACGCCCAACAAGTGATTCCGCGTAGATAGAACTTAGGTAATTGATTGCTTTTGCCCTCCCAAGATCAAACCATCCCAGTCTTGCTGACTAATAAACATAAGTCGTTGATTTAGCCTTTCGGAATAAAATTTCCCATTCCGTGTGGCAATGATAAGGTGCCATTGCTGACTAAGACAAATCTACGCTTTTTGCCTCTTTTGCCCCCTACTTGGCATAATTACGGTTTGAACGGGAAGATCTATGCCAAGGCTCTCTACGCTCGGTCAACGCTAACTGGCTCCCTACACTCACACTCACAAACCAACCTCTAAGCATTCCTTTCAACTGGCTTAGGGTGGCTTTGGGGTTGGTTAGAGGCATGCATTAGGGATTAAGGCTTAGTGGTAGAATACGATTAGGAGTTGAGGAATCATTAGTTAACTATGAATAAAACTTGTCATTACATAAGAGTAGTAGACTGCTAGTGTTGGCCTGGTATAGAGAGACTTGGCATAAGCTCTACCCCCTACCTTGGAATAAATCGACCGATCCCTACATCAAACATTTACAACTTTGCCACTCATCTCCAAGGTTGTAGGGTACGGCCGTGATGAATTTGACATGGTTCGGCGCTCTGACTGGCTCCAAGAACTCAACTGTACCTGAGAGATTCAATTGGTATTCATCTTTTGTGATTATTTTTCTGCATTCCTTTCGCAAAATATGGCGCGGTGGACGTGATGGATATTTATCGTGTCTGTCTAATAAACATTGTATAAGATTTTATCATCCCAAGAAGAGCAAGTAATGAATGGATAGATTCAATGGTTTGGGCCGCCTTTAACGGCCCGCAAAGCCAGGATTCCACAAAACGATAGCAAAACCAATGACAAAAGCATCGTACTAGTGATGAATTGCCTGGAGCGTGTAATCTGACAATAGATAGGTACATTGAAGAGATCGAAAATATTGTTTGGTTATAAAAAAGAATGAAGGTCGCTCAAGAGAGGAACGTCATATGAAATAGGAAATGAGGCGTCGGTGGAAGTCTATGCTCTCCACTTAGGCGCTGGGCGGCCGGCGAGGACTATATACCTGCTGTCTGCCGCCAGTGCAGAGGACAAGTGAAAGGTCAGCAGCAGCGGAGCATGAGTGAGTCGCGAAATCGTCGTTTGGCTTGTTGTAGACGCTCTTGCAAGGACTTTCACCCGGAGGGCAAATAACTTTATGGCAATTGCCATTGGGGGAACTGAGGCTTATGCCATCATTCACGAATGGCTCCCCGTTGATGGCTGAAATATCGTAAAACAATTTGTTACCGGCAAGAGTGTATTCAAACTGCGTGATACTCGCAAGGTTTTGATTTTTGGAGATCTTGAGGGAAATACCGCCTCCATTTCGGGCGACACGGTACTGTTCCGCATAACTATGGTTGGGTGGAATCACGTTCATCTGCCCGTTGTCTCCGCCGACCGACCAGAGATAAACGGGATATCCGCAGTTGTTCTGAACCTTGGCGGTGCCGGCTAATGTGGCTGGAAGGAGACCAGCAAATGCGGCGGCAGCAACGACGACCTTTTTGATAGACATGTTGGGTTGGTCCGATGTGGATTGTCAAAAACACAATAAGTATATATAATGAAGGTAAAGATTGATTGTCAAATAATGATGGCTATCCTGAGAAGAGCGAGTGGATGCTCGACGTGGGAGCCGTTGGGCCATTTATAGACGAAGAGCAGGATAAAATTTTGGATACCCTTGGGAATTCATTTCGTAGCTCCCAATGGTTCAAGGAGTGAAATTTTTGACAACAATAACGGCATTTGGAATAGCTTTGAGGCTATCACAAAAATTACATCCCAGCAGAAAATGATAAGACGAAACCGTTGCATGGTTGGAGCAGTTGGTCCCTGGGACAATCCCAAGGTTCCATTCAGGGGTTTTGGTTGCGAGGATTTAAGTTTTTAAGGAACCATATGGGGCGTGCGGGAGCGGCCGCAAGCTTCGTAAGTGCTGAAACGGACTGTTGGATTGATGGATTAAAATTTTCCCTGAACTTAAGAAAACCATAAGGTAGATTTCCAGCGAATTGATATGAGCAGATAAGCTGTTCTCACCAGTCTGATATTTCTTTCACAAACATCATATGATGCCAATTTTTTTTTTCTTTTTTAAAGGCTCCAGAGTTCAAAGCGTATGCCCGGAACATATGCAATCTTTCTCCACCTGGGAGGCTGGGAACCCTGGAAGAAAGGACATGGGATGCTTTCCTTCATTTTAACCACTTGGTAATTGGCAATGAAGTCCAGCCGCCGACTCTCATTTGATATAATGGGACTGGCTAGATAAGACAAAAAGGGACTCCATAATTCACGGAGAATAGTCGGGTAGGGCGAACAGCTTCCTTCCAGGTTTAATCTAACTCTGTGAAATCACCTTCAATCCGCTGACAGAGAGGGATGAGATTAACAAGTGGTATTTCCCCGATCCTGGTTGTGATCTCAAAATGCGCCCAATAATAGCGACGTTATACGCAACTTCCTAAGCGGACTTTGGTCATTCGACCTTAACGCTTAGCGCGGCAATTTGCCATTAGCCGCGGTGGCAAAACTAAATTATTCGGAAAACTAGAGCGGGTAAACCCGATCTTGAGGGGGCGCGCCACCCGCGCGGGATATCCGCTGAACCATTTCGAGTCTCACAAGCTATCCAGACTTCGGATGAGACAAAAACATGGGGATAGTTACCAATGGGAACATCCCACGCCGATTAACTGATCAGACCGATCACGTGATTTGAATGTTACACATCCATCCTAAAGGTTTCCCAAGTTGTATCTACCACGAATAGTCAGTTAATTCCGCATGCGACAAATTACCTGGGTAATATTTCAGCTGTGGGAATAAAGTGATAGTCAGGTTCTCCAACACTCCAAACAAGGCAACAAGAGGAGGGTGTTACTTTTCAATCCATATTTTCAATTCCATTTAGCACCATGTCTCTATGAAAGACAAAAATATCCTCTTGCCATGCGCATGATATGGATTAAAGAAATAATACAGCCATTTTAATTGTAAAAGCCGATTAAACCCGCTATGCCAAATCAGTTGAAATCACCAATATGGCGGCCGTAGCCCGCTCAACCCAGATAACGTGTTTTCCACTCCAGCGATTGCTGTACCGCTCTCCTCCTTTTTCCGATGACCTCCAAGCTCGAGTTGTATCTGCCGATGAATATGCACCAGCCAGTCAACGTAACTTTGAGCATCATTATTTCTGTCCTCCAGAAGGAGTCTGGCAAATTCGTATTCGGCACCGTCTATCCCCTGACGCGCAAGCTGTATCGTGACAGACTTGGAACCACGGATAGTAGAGAGGTATTGGATAATATTTCGCACCTGAGCGTTGAGATGGGTTTCTAGTAGAGGAATAGATGTAGTGTTGGGATCAAGAGACTGCAGCTTCGTTTTACCAGGGCCAAAAAGGTCCTCGAGTAAATTTGGCGAGACCTGCGCATGAATCCAGAGTAGGCAGATCTGACCATTATCAACGATGTAGGCACCGCCTTCTTCAATGCGGGAGAAAGATGCTCGGAGTGCGGGAGGAACTTGAAGCTGGCCTTGTTCATTGGTGAAACCGTCCTCTGGGTTTAAGTTGTGGATCGGAATAATGCGAGGATATAGATAGAGTGAGAGTTCGGTGCAGCCAAATGAACGAAGCATGCGCAGATCATGAATCCGACGATCGGATGTTTCATGACCACCTGTGTGACGTCAGAAAAGGACTCTTTCGAAAATGGGTCGTAGATCACTGCCGGAAATTTTAACTGGAACACTCACACTTGAAAGCGCGAGATTTCACCAAACTCAATATATACATAGCAAATTCCTTCATATTTTCCGGTAACACAAGTTGGCCGGGAGGGTGAGACAGCGAAAAATTTTTCCGGTAACCGGCAAGAATATCGATAGTCTTTTCGGTTAACCCAGCTCGAATATCTTTAAGCGATTTATCTGGCATTTTTGATGCGGCTTTGGAATCAAGATTAGCTGACCTGCTGTAATGTGGCAAAGAGTTCAAACTAACCTTCTTTGGCAATTATGTTAACCACAGCATCTTGATCAATTGCTTTCATAGTTTCCATGCCTCCTTCATTGACAGCGGCAACCGTATTGATGCATCTAACTCGCCGCTGGCCGCTAGCGGTTGTATATAACAGAGCCGCCTGAAAATGAGCGTCTAATTTCGTATCGAGCTTTCCATCGTACGTGAAGACAACACCAAAGGCTTTGTCTGCATCAACACAACCTAGTTGGAAGTCCGAGCCAAAGGTGTGTTGCATGAAGTTACCATAATAGGATGCGACTTGAAGCCCATTTGAGCATCGAACTTTTAGCAAAGCCTGGTATCCCGTTTCCCGATTGACGGCATGGGACAGCTCGTTTGATAGCTTGAGAACGTCGCGAGGTGCATGGAAATTAGGGTATAGGAAGGTCTCCCCACCGGATACTGCTGCTACATGGCCTGATCCAACAATAATTAGCATTTGAACCTATATGTAGACGTTGTGGGATTTACCAATGGTAGCGATGTCCATATAAGCGCCACCACAAGACGCTATGAACAAGTCAATCCCCACTCCACTCTCAGCCAGTTTTGTGGCAGTCTTTTTCCAACTGGGGTGCTCAGTGGTGAAGAGTTTCTTTTCGGCGTCGGTTCCTTGTCCCTTTCCATCATCTCTCATAAATAACCGACCTGGGCCCCAGGTTGGTAAGCTTGCCAATGAACAAATCATTTTCCCCCCAGTTTGCTCCAGGGCGGACAAGGCGGCATTAATTGCCGGTAAAAGAGCTGGCTCCGGGTTTTTAATATGGAGAAACAATGTCGGTATTTGGGTTAATAGGGACGATATAACATGCCTAGACACTAGTTAGCACAGACGGAGGGAAGGGGAAAAGGTATCGGTTCACAGTACTTTGATTCGTATGGATCGACAAAAAGTCCTTCACTCAATGGAACAAACGGTTCGTCAAGATCCGCCATAACAATCATTTGGGCTTGTTCGAGGCGGGCCTGTATCCCTGCGTAAGCATTTTGATATTGGAAAAGCAAAACTGCCAAACATACGCTGAGGTTATAAAATTGAACTTCTTTATCGAAAGTAATTATTCCGACTTTAGAACCTTCGGGGAGTTTCTTTGGAGGTGTACTATCGTCTTTTGGTGATTCATCATCATCGTTGTTGCCCCCATATAAAGCCGCCATTATCCCCTCACAGCAAGCCTCTAAAAACCCCCGAGTTACCGCTTCTTGCGAAACGTCGATCAAGAACAGCCAGCGTATCCCAACCGGAACTTTACCCCAATATTCCTTCGGAACCATATATTCAACTGTCCCCAGCATTAGTTCGGGTCGTTGCATGCGGTCAACGCGAACCCCTGAGGGATCTAGAGGTGAAAAATACTCCGATGGTACTTCGTTTGGAAAGGCGCACATGTTGCATACGAATTTATTACCACCTGATCTGAACATCATAAACGGATTAATATAAGCTCTGCACCTTCTACATCTTGGAGGACCAGCGTCTCCAAAGTCCAAGACAGGAATGGGTTGCTCGCCAGCGTCTAAAGTGGCAAGGGGTTGTAGAACCATGCCAAGGGGAAGTGCAGTGGAAGAAAGAAATTCGACAGTGGATGGAATATTATTGAGAGTAAGCCGGGCGAACTTCGGGGAGGAATTGCCTTGATCGTGAGCAATAAAAGGGATTGCGGCAGGAGGGGGTATGTGACGTTCCATTGTAGGATATATATGGCCTTGGTAATACTGAGCGGCAATATCGCGTGCAATTGGAATACCGGGAACTTGTTCTGGGTCAACTTTCCCTTGTGTATGTACGGAGCTATCACTAGCAGAAGAGAATGTCGGTTTCGGTGTTGCAACAAAGGAAGGTTGTCCCGTCCGTAATGAGTTTTGCAGGCTAGAAGAAGATATATCGGAATATGAGGACCCGGGTCGAGGTTGGTGATTCATTCCGGTATTGAGGAATTGCGATTGACTCTGCATTCCTCCTTGTGGCATTCCATTAAAAGCATGCAGAGTTGGAGACGGAGCCCCAAAGTCATGATACACATGCCGATCTTTCTTTTTGTGAGCACGAACACTTCCGCCGATATCTCCACTGATCCCTAAGCCGCCCATTTGCGATGTCAACCTACCCACCGCACCGGGTCCTTCATCAAATCCACCAGATGAGGATGGACACCCGGTTGAGCCCATGGGGATCGGGTGAGCTCCATAAGGAGCCTCGTTTTGGTGGTAGCCCGGAGGGCCTTTGGCGATCGGAGGGTTAAATTGCGGTGGGGCAGGCTGTGTTCTTATCTGAGAATTCAGCTTGTCTTCTTCACCCTGACCAAGCGAATGATATGTCGAAAAGTCAGCCATGATGCTTCCGCGTTCGAATACCAAAGCGGTATCGTGAAGAAGAGATCAAGTGGGGTCTTCCGGCAGCGGTTCGCGGGTATCCGCAATTGCTACTCCGCTATATCATAGCCAGGAAAAGCGCGGAAGCTCAACGTGTGGATGTACCGGGCGTCGAGAACTGCTGCTGGCAGACTTGCGTTGCGGAAAACTGACCACATAGCTTGTTCATACACGGGAGAAACCTTAGAGCCCGGATTTATGTGACGCCGAAAAGACTTTCACGTGATGTTCTCTGCCCAGCTTAAATGAAGCTACCCTGATCTTGAACAACAACATACAACCACATACAACGACATACTATTGCATACCACTGCAGGCTTCTCAAATGTTCCCGGAAAATGTTATGTTAATGGCTACTGAAAGATGCTACTTGACTTGAGCTATCCTAGAATCTCTGGATGTGGTAACAACGCTTTTTCCAGGATTGAACCTTGACGATAACTTTGCACCCTTCTCCGAACGACAATTTACGACGATTACTGGTGGATCTTGGGGGACCAAGGTCGAATGCCGTGCTCAAAGTCATCGCCGAAATGTATTGTTAGTTGAGGACTCCAATTCACAGCAGTTTTCAGCCAATCCGTCGTTCCCACCTTGCTCCAGGTAATGCGGAAAGCTTATGAAACGTTGATCGGTTTTTTGCGGACAAGTTTTGTCTTGGTTCATTTTGACCATAGAAATAGCAGCAGAATGCAAATCTGATGGCAAGGTTAAGAAAGTGGTACAAAACTCTCCAGAAAGTCTTAATGACTTCGTAACCCGCTTTTCTTTATTTAAACTTATAAGTAGGTGTCACCACCAAAGGAGAGCACAAAGGTTCCTACTTGGGAGAAAACCAACCTTCAATGAAAAACGCGTGGCATCGTGTTTTACTCCAGGGTTATACTGTCCAGGCATACTCACTGCCACTTCTCAAATTTTTTGGACAAATTCGGCAATGCAATTACTTGCATATGCCATGTTTTCCAATTTCCCGCCATGCATTCAAGATGCGGAGTCTAAATCGTTGAAGATCTATTCTGAAGCTAACAACCTAAACTAGCGGGGACAGATACGATGTTACTGGCCATCTGAAGACCGTCCATTGTAATATCCCCTTATCGAAACAAAAAAATTCCCTGGTACAAAATGCTAGAGATATTACCAAGGGGTTTGTTAAGCTATTTCAACCGGCGCAGGGAGGAGGCATATTGATGCCACGGCTTTTCCGCAACCGAATATGGACAGTTGCAAAGATTTTAAGCTGCTCACCTTTCCGGTAGCTATTTATATGAATTGCTGCAAAGCATCCGCTCTCAGCTGGATCATTGCAGTAAATTACTTCTCAACCCTTCTTTTTGGGTGGAAAGGCTTCACCCTCCTACAATTACTCGAGTTCTATAGCTGATCACTTCTACGGATGCTGGATACAACCCCACCCAACAAGTCTATGAGTGTTTAGGTATCATAAATCTCCAATTGATGCACTTTAGTGTAGCATTTGCTTCATTGATGTTAGCACATAACTGGTTATTTTGGTTACCCTTAATTTTCACAATTTTTGACTGAAAGTTAGGGACTTGCAAGGCCCATCAGTTTATGTCGATGCTGACATGAATTTCCTTTTTTCTATGATTGACACAACATAACCAAAACCAACGCATTTCGCTTTGTGCTAATATTTTGTTTCCACAATGCAGTTTGGTTTCTGGGAATGTTCTCTTTTTAATGGGTAGATCATAACCGATAGGGAATGGAGGTCGTATTGAATGGAAGTACCCAAAGAATACCCAGGGCCAAAAATAAAAGATAAAAGCTAAAAGATAAAATAAAATAAAATAAATAAAAATCTTGCAAAGTGTTCATGGATTCACTCGAATAAGAAAATGTGGCTTTCTTTCCGGTTGGCTCCAAATGGCAGGACTTGTTTCTAAGGGGTTAACAATTTTGATTCCACGAAATGCCAAGTCTGCTCAACTGCCACTCTATATAGAAATAGCGGACTGCTAAATAAATCTTTAACGAGGATATTATCAACCACTTTCTTGCCATTCACATTAATATTTAACCAAGAACTAGGAGGCCCTGGACAGCTCAGGGGCATCCGAGCATGCCAGGAAAACAATCGACATGGGAAGCGTTATTTGCTGGCATTTGGTTCCGCTCATGCATTCGGTGCTCCAGAAAATCGGTGGCCCTTTAAAAGTTCGAAATTTAGGTTTATTTTCAATTGAACATCATAGAAACTCCAAGCCCTTACTTTCATGCATCTATATCCTATAGGGGAGTGTGTTCATCTCACCCACACCCCTAAAGTGCTAATCATACCAAAACAGGCTTACAGAGAGTGCTGTACTTCAAGTCTGGAAACGACATACCTAGCCTTCCAAGTTAGATAAAGTCACGCTTGGTCTCTACTTTTTCTTTCTAGAAGCAGAATGATTTATTTTATATCATTCTATGTCCAATAAGCACAAGAAGCGAACACCGAAGAACCTCAACGCATCATGGAAGAATATACATGATTACATGTTACATGTCCTTCCTTACCTTAAACTATGTGGGGACAGTGGCTTCTGGTGGATGAGCGGTGCCATACCTTTTGCTTGACATCCTACATGGCTGCAGGATCACCGGGTTTGTCTTCTGACGGCTCCATAGTTCAAATCTTGTTGTGGGTTCTTACGTGTGTTCTCGAAGCAGCGAAGGTGGTTGACAAGAAGACAGCCCAGAAGGCTTAAACCTCTCAAGAAGCTAACTAATCATTAACTATAGTTATGGATTAGAGTAACAACCAACACCAACCTGCAAAATGTATCTTAGTTAGATCATACGCAGGAGGAACTGGGTGCGGAAGAAAGTTAAATAGATAATCTGCTCACATCCCGATGACTTGTATAAGGTGACCTAAAAAACGGTTGGTTGGGCTCCGAAGTTAACTTAAGCCTTTTGAAGGATAATGCTGTGCCATGGTACTCAAGTGAAAACGGTCCAATTTCATCATTATTAGCCTTTCCAGAAGTTCCTCAGCAGTTTTATTATGAATGCTGATCAATCGATCGATTATTGTCAATTAAAGAAGCACAAAAGCTGCTTGAAATCCGCCTCAAAACACGCAGAGTGTTTGGACATCTCGTAAGATGATCACCACCAATCCCCCACCTATGATGTAGCTGTCGGCTCGTCAATGCGACACTGCACAATTGTCCTGGTTATGGGTGGATGTTGGAATAGTTCATCCTAGTGACACTAATGTGCGGGCCACAATATTAGCTTCGACCATCTTCAGAGTCTACTCTGACGATCCCGGATACTTGAAACAATGCTAACGGGGCCACATGTCTATCGACCTTGGAATGACATATCAAATCTGGGTCGGATAAACTCGCGTTGTCACCACGAGGATCAGAGGTGGAAAGCAGTGAAAGCAATCCATGGATAGCAGATGGTACTGCAGTCTTGCAGGGCCGCAAAATCTTGAGATGGGGGTTCTTCGATCCATGATGCTGGTGGGGTGGGTTTGGACTAAGACGGTGATAAGCCCGAGAGCCACTCATCCCTGTCGACGCCAGATTCCCTGCCGTGCCGCAAAATTTTGAGATGGTGTTCTTCGAATCGTGTGTGCCGGTGGGGATTGGGTTGAACTAAGATGGTGAGAAACCCGTGAGCCACTCATCCCTGTCGAACGCCACAACCTCCATTTCTCCAATCGTAGACAGGGGGCCCGAACGGCTGCTTGTCAGACGCCCCGAAAGATAACCTGAACTCAACCGAGCTCGAAGTAGCTCCTGGCTTCTCTGAGGAGGAAAACAGCCATTCCCACAACATCCTCTTGCCACCTCCAGGTATACTTGTTTCTCTGGTTTACCTGATGCCATCAGAGGCACTCCACTGGCTCCTCCGGCTATTCTTCCCTTGACGTGGGCTGTGCTAGCTTCTCCAATGATCAACTCGATTAAAAGCAAAAATATTGTGGTGTTTGAAAAGCGGTAAGTTGATAAAAATGATAAAGAGCGTCATCTCATGCTGGTCGGGAAAATATTCTTCTCTGGCGCTGCGTACCCCTTCCAAGTCACCCTCATAACACCCCGTGTGTAATCTACCAGGGAGTATGGCTCTAATTTCCAGCGAACAGCCATTGAACGGAAGAGGTGACGGGGAAATTGAAGACAAGGAGATACCCATCAAAGGTATTCCTGAAGTGGTTTCTTCTACAATGGCTACAATACAGGACGACGATGAGCGACTGCTGGCGCGAATAGGATATAAACAGGTCTGTTTTATTTTATTTTATTTTATTTATTTTGTTTTGGTTTCTTTTTTTTTTTTTTTTTTTTTTTTTTTTTTTTTTTTTTTTTTTTTTGGGAGCGGTAGCGTCTCCCCTCCAAGCCACTTCTAACGAGAACTGGACTATTCTGATTAATTTCCTTAGGAGCTGAGGAGAGAATTTTCAAAATGGTCTACAGTTTCCTACGCAATCTCCATTCTTGGAGTTCTTGGTTCTGTTCCAGCAACCTTTGGCCCACCTTTGGCTGCTGGTGGTCCTGCTACAGCAGTATGGTGCTGGTTTATAGGATCCTTTATGGCCATGTGTATTGGTAGTTCTGTTGCTGAACTTGTGTCAGCATATCCCACAGCCGGGGGGATGTATTTTGTAACGAAGCACGTTGTACCTCCAAATCAAGTTGCAATATTTTCCTGGATTCAAGGCTGGTGCAATTTGCTTGGACAGACTGCTGGTGTATCCAGTGTTGCATATACCGTAAGCCAGATGCTGCTGGCTTGTGCAAGTATGAACTCTTCCCTAGACAACGGGAAATACTCATATTCGCCGTATGTTCTCAATTCATCTTGTCTATATCTGATCAACCCCCCTCCTCTTCTCTGACCTTTCGCAAATATGATGTGTATCGCTATAGATTCTGGATATGTTTTGCTAACATGGCATGTAGGACTGCCCTTCAAACCGTACTTTTATCTATTGCATTACTGTGCGCGATGGGTGTGGTGTGTTCTTTGACCACCAAAATTTTGCACAGAATTGTCCTGTGGTTCGCCCCAATCAACAGTATGATCTCCCTGGCCGAATGCATTTCACGAATATTTTCGTCTCACCAAAATTACAGTTCTTGCTTCAATTGCCATTTGTATTACACTCTTGGTCCTGACACCCCATAAACAGTCCGCTAAGTGGGTGTTCACCAATGTGACGGATGGTTCCGGGTGGAATTCAAGGGGGTTTTCGTTTCTTTTGGGATTTATATCTGTGGCTTGGACCATGACTGATTACGATGGGACAACTCAGTAGGTGCTTTTACGGGAACGCATATTGATATGTTACTAACTGTTGCTCATTTAGTATGTCAGAAGAGACTCATGACGCTGCGATCCGTGGCCCCATGGCTATTCAAACAGCTATCCTTGTATCGGGTGTTCTTGGATGGATGCTAACTGTTACAATGTGTTTCTGTTTGACTGATTTGGATGTGATATTAAAATCTCCCACTGGCCTACCAGCTGCCCAGATATTCTTTAATGCTGGTGGACGAACCGGTGGGACTATAATGTTTTCATTTTCCATTCTTGTTCAAATTTTCACTTGCTGCTCTGCCATGCTTGCTGATACCAGAATGGCCTATGCTTTCGCACGTGACGATGCCCTCCCTTTCTCAAAGTACGAAATGTCTAATTTTATATTGTGTAGCATTTATATCATATGCAGACAACCTAACAAACATTCTTATAGATTCTTTTCGCAGGTTAACCCCTATACATTAACACCCGTCAATGCCGTCTGGTTTGTGGTTTTCTTCAGCATTTGCTTAAACTGCATTGCCATCGGATCTACACAGACAGCTACAGCCATATTCAATATCACAGCGCCTGCCCTTGACTTGTCATATATCGCCGTTATATTGGCCCATCAACTATATAAACATCAAGTTCGGTTTATCGAAGGGCCGTTTACGCTTGGGAAATGGGGAACACCTTTGAACACTATTGCCATTGTCTGGGTGCTATTTATTAGCGTGGTCCTTTTCTTCCCTCCTACTAGGCCAATCACCCCACAGAATATGTAAGGCCGCCTTTGAAGAGGGTGTCAATTCCAGATATACTAACATTGCATAGGAATTATGCTATATGTGTGGCTGCATTTATAGCACTGTTCTCACTGTCATGGTGGTGGCTTTCTGCTAGACGGTATGTAATTACTACTTTTTGCGCCTTGACCATTTTCCTCTTTTGCCTTTCGAACAAAATACAAAAATCACCATCTAACCTCTCATTAAGAAAATACACTGGGCCATGTACCAAGGACATACTCCAGGAAGTTGGGACTGAAGACATAGACAACCCCTACGGGACTGCAATTGATTTCGATGCATGAACGTTCCCCTTTCGTACATGGATTCCACGATATCTTTGCCTGACAGTCCCATATTTTTTCGCATATCAGTTTGCCTGTCCGAAATTTCGCTTTCTGACTCACAACGCAATTGAAAATTTGTTTCTTTCGGCTAGATTCTTTCGGATGTGGAGGTTCTTCACTCCCCTATACCATCCCATCCTTCATTTCGCAGCACACAACATTCGATACCGATGCAAACTGGTCCTTTCCCAACAAACTCTCCACACCATGGAATTTGATTAAAGATAAAGCAAAACGAGCTCATATTAATCGACTATCAAGTCAAATGGAGACGACGATGAATAGCATGATACGTTTTGCCAAAAAACCCCCCAACAGCCTCCTCTCCTATTCTTGCTTCCTCCCGTATATGACGTGAATCTTGCCATATATGTGGTTCGATCGGTTTTGGAGGTCCTTTTTTACAGCCTCCAGCAAGATGTCAATTTCCTTCTTATCCCACTTGAGTACGCGAGTGAAGAGAGCGAGGGTATATGCTTCCAAAAAGGCGGTAAGATGGAGTTGCTGGTATTGAGCAATTTCTTTAAGTTTCTTATTCTTTGGCCATGGGTAGACTGGAACCTACAGGTAAAACGGTCAGTTGGTTTGCGTATCGTTGATTTCATCTAGGCTTCAGATTAAAATTGAGGGCGGGGGACCAAAAGGGAAATAAGAAGTGGCCACGGCAGTTTTAACTCCATTTTCTTTTCAAAATGACAACAAACCAACATACCTTGTAGACGTCATTCTTAATATCCACAAATCCTGCCTTCGCCATCTTCTTTTCCCACGTTCCCTCCACATCGAGAGGCTTACCAAATTTATTGCTCGCCTCAATCAAGAGATTCTTCCACTTCAGAGCACTCTGAGCGTTTTCCAGAGTGCCATCGTCCGAGAAAAATCCAGCTTCGAAACTCTGCATCTCAAGGTATCCTCCTGGTTGTAGATGCTTGAAAGCTTGAGCAAACAGATTATCAAAGTCTTTAATTGAGCCGGCCATGTTACGACTGTGAATATAATTAAATGCCTTCGACGATTTGTATGGCCATTCCGTTTCAACATCATCAATTTCGAAGGAACAGTTCGGTGGAACCCTGAGATATTGCAGTGTGAGACAGTGTTGTTGAGCGTTATGACATCTGGGTGATATACCATGTTGGCTGAATCGGACTTAGATCAGAACCTAAGAGATTTCAATTTGGGCCCAAGATAAGTTATCTTCCTGATGTTGAGGATTAAGAATAAATCAGGGGTGTAACCAACCGATGACCTTGGATTCGGGGTGTTGGCTGCATCCAAAAGGTTAGCGTTGATTCGAATTCGAACGGCGTACTACTACATAACATTTCCACTGACTTCGCGAAATCGATTGCCCAGTTTCCATTTCCGGTGCCAAAATCAAGGACACGTTTTGGATTCGGTTTCAGAGGGGCACGGTAGAGTTCTCCGGCGAGAATCATTCGATAGATATGATGCTCCTGACTCCAAGGGTTAGCCTGTTCCGATCTTGGACAGAAAGAGGCATTGTTATTCAAGATGGTCTCACCAGGTCCATGCGGATCTGTTCTGCCTCGTCATTTGGCTACCGTTGAAGTTTAGTAGTTGTATTCGAATCCGCTTTGCATATGCCAGCACACGTACTAGAATATACGCTCCTTCGTGGAAGGCGTGGTATCTGCGTCCGTTCTGATGCGCCGCGAAAAGAGACTTAGCCTGAGTAACTCGTAACCGTTTGTTGGATTGAGCGACTTCGCACCTCGTATCTGAAGTGCATTAGCTGGCTAGAAACCTGCAATTCTTGTTGAAAACTGGCTCCTTGACTTACTTATAGTCTAAAACACATGAATCGATCGATGTCGCATATATAGTACTATTAACTCTGCCCAGGAAAATGCAGGATATGTCAGTTACCGCAGAAAGCAAGAAAACCCTGAAAGACGAATGATTCTCGCTTGAGCTTACTCACGACTCTTCATACAGAGCAATTCCATCGTCAATTGTCTTCTGTAGAGAAGTCGTCAGCTTCAGCCTGACGACCGCTCCTAATACAACACTCACGTCAATTTCGATAGCTGCGACACCGTTAGAGGTCATATTCTGCGCCATACTTCCAGTTACTCAATTTGGGGGGTGGATGTGGGCGCCTCGGGTAGACATATACGAGGGGGGAGTGTGCCAGGGACGAACGATCCTGTCCCCTCCTTTCAAGGGACCTGTTACGTTGTTATATAATTCGAAACCAGAATGTCAATGAGTTTGGCCTAAGCGGGATGCTAGCATGGCACATATGCACATTGTGCGGGAGGGTAACGTTCCACCGCTTCTGATTTTTCCATTTAAGGCCTATCACTTCGGGCGGCACCGCCAAACGCTCAACGGAGGCGCGAAGAGATCTAGACATAGCCGCAGCTCTCTCATTGCAGATTAATCCCTCCCAGGGGTTGCTAGTGGGGGGTTTTAAAGGGCGGGCAAGCCACAACACTAGGCACAATTTCGTCCCTGGCATCTGCGAATATGAGTGGTCACAGCTACGCAAAAGACACGATACTTTTGCACATGGCTTGCGTGTTCGGGCCTATGAGAAACTGAGATCTCAACCGACGCAGTAGTTTATGGTTTTAGTGGATTTTCGACCTCGATCCCTTATTGCTGGAAACCATCTCAACAAGTTGGGAAAATCGATATTCTGCGGACTTTCGCTTGATCGCCCAACAGCTGAACCAACAAGGAATACGTTTAAGTTGGGTCTAGGGCTAATTGGTTGTGGCGGAATCATGGGTAGACACATAGGCGCAACAGCACAGATTATGCCGTTAGTAGTGTGCACAGAACATAGAACAGAGACGACGGTACGGCGTAATAGTTAGCATGGAGCTTACGAAACGCATTAACCCGCCAAAGACCTGGCTGGCGCCCTAGACCCCCCTCCCTCATTGTTTTCTTTCCCTAATTATGGCGGGAACTAAGCAGCTGAGATAGGGGATAGGGGCCTGGCTGACATCAGGCGGCCGACTCCCAGCGCTCTCCCTGTCTCTCTTGGCCCCGACAATTAATAGGCCACACAATTGCAAACGCCAGAGAACGGAAAAGAAAGGAAACAAAAAGCCGAAACTAGTGATTATTTGCGCATGTAACCTTCCATCGGGGGAAGTGTTTGGACAAGCGTCGCCTTGAATCTCAAGGGAAGTGTAATCGACGCCCTATTCTCATTGCCTAATGCCAGACAGGAGAGTGATAACTACCAGTGCAGATAGCCGGTAGGTATAGCCAAAGTCGGCAATGATGACAGTGTCAAACAACAGCGCGATTTAGTTTGGGGGGGCAATGAACGAACGCGGGTTCGAGGTATTTGTCTCTTTATGATGACCGGAAATACGACCTTGTCATTGGTGATGGACAAAAAGGAGGGAGGGCTAGCTAACTATATAAGTTACACGCTACGTGCGAGCAACGGCTAAACCCACATATTGCCCCAACAGAAAATGTCCAGAATACTTGTCAGTTACGGAGGATATATAGGAAAAAGGGTGAAGTTAATGTTTTCGTCCTTCAGCTATCTGATTAATAGTAACTGCATTCTATGACTCCCTTAAGATCGCTGCCGATATTACATTACTTAAGGCAATTTGTTTGACAAATTGTATGTCCGGTTTTGGCTCCCGCCTGGCCAAAAGCTTGTTCAATATCTCTGAAAGAGGTGTGTTTACAGGGTGATGATGTATCATCGTCAAAGGTCACGTATGCGTTGCATACGACTGGACTTCAAAGGTATTATAAAGCTTCTTCCGAATGTACTCTGCAACCTCGGTTCCTCAAGAAACTTTTCGTACTGTAGAGTAGCTGCTGCGGATATTTTCTATGGGGGTTTCATACCTATGTTCAATCAAAACGTCAAATACAATGCCATTGATGTAACTATAAACATATGGAGGCACTATGACAATGGACACAAACTCTCCAAAGGGACCAGAAACAAAAGAACTATTTACAATGATAAAATCTGAGAAAGAGAACACAAAGAACATAATAAAAACAATCAACTTAGTGCTAAAAGTTGCAGGTAGATAACAAGGGAAATAAATACTGCAGATTCAGGGAGGAAAAATCATTGGGAAAAAGTAAGAAACGATATAGAGAAAGGAAGTTAGCTCAAGCAGAATCACATGTCAGCCAGACAAATGCAACAGAGATGTTGATCAACTATGCAAGTTATATGCTCGCCGGCAGAAACAAAACACGAGTAAAACAAGTTCAAGCGGGAAAATCACAAAACTCAAAAAGTGAAACAGGATAACCAACACCAGACCCCAAAGGGTCTATTGAACAGCGTAGACAAGAGAGGGGGGATGTAATGAAACAGCAACAGCAACAGCAACAGCGAAAGAAAAAAAAAAAGAAAAAAGAAAAAAGAAAGAAAGAAAGAAAGAAAGAAAGAAAGAAAAAGAACAGAGGACAAAACTCATGCCAAGCTAAGGGACCTTACAAGCCAAACTGGATTGGCCTCTGTCCGATGTTCATTCCAACCAACAGCCTGAAGACTCTGACCGACCTTGTTTCGCATCGCCAGAGCTTCCCCTCTCCCTTCCCCAACAAAATATTCTTCTCCCTTAACCCAAAATGCCATATTCGCATTGGCCTGCTGCAGGCATTCAACGAGACCGCGGCCCCTGATAGCTGCGTCGGATGGGCATAGCTGCCTAATCAATTCTGCCACAGTCATGCGGGTTGAAACCTGGTACCTTGTGAATTGGATAGGTGCGGACTGGTCCTCCCAAGGGTAGTGGTATCGGGGGTTGAGTAAATGGATGGTCGTGGTGTCTGGTGGGAATATATATCCCTGGCCACCGGGCATAATAAGTGGATTGGCCGTACCCGGTATCATCGCACCGTGAGGGGTTTGCGGGTTTGGGCCTTGAGTAAAGATAGTGGGGGGAGGAAGCACTGCGGCTAGTTGAAGTGCAGTCTGTTGAACTACAAACTGTTGCGCGGGTTGTTGGGTTTGGGGGATAACCATGTAGGTGGGGCCGACTGTGTAGGCATTAGGAGGGCTGAAATAGTACCTGAAACACTAGATGGACCACCGGAAGGAGGCCCGTACCTGGAGGTGTAGCTGTTGGTGGGAGAAGTGCTAGTTGGAAGAAGACACCTTGGGGAGGGGCTGCTGGTGCAAAGACGGGTATCAGTCCCGACGCAGGAGGTTGGGGCAGCGGCTGGGGAAAAGGTGCTTGTGCAAAGATGGGCACCAGACCTGGCACATGAACTTCTTGCGGCTGCGCTTGTGGAAAAGTTGTCGGCAGAGGCAGTCCTCCATTTGGAGGTTGTCCATCGGTCGTTATATAACGTATTTCGGCCATTATATACGGCGTATCTATGAATATGTGGATATGGATATGGATATGGATATCGCTGATCGACAAGGTACACTGAAGGAGCAAATAAAGCAGCTGGTGATCAATGTTAGTAGAACGGTCTGCAATGAGTGTTGAGGGTGCAGAGGAACCAACTTGTATAGATATCAAGACAGATATAGAAGTAGTTGACTTATATAAAATGGGACTTTTCATGACCATGGAAAGAGAGTAAGAAGTATAGAAGTCAGGAAAGGCATGAGTATTTATAAGGCCAGAAAGTCCAAGCCCAAGAGTGTGTGAACATATCCTCAACTTCACAAGTCATATAATAGGTGAAAATTAAAAATAGAAAATAGAAAATAAAAAATAAAAACATGACCATTGGACGTCTTCACAGACAGTAGTATAAAATCATCAAGTGGAAGAGGAATTCTTTATCCTCACTGAAAAATGTGTATCAAAAAGTGAAAAGAACAAAAACTTGATACAAGAAAGAGACCCTTGTCATCCTCAAGTAAAAAGTTGCTTGTTTGACAAATGAATGAGCAAGTCAACAATAAAACAGCTTATAACAAAACATAGCAAAACACTTTGTTAGAAAATTCAATGTCAAACATATTTAGGTCGCATGAAAATGTTGCATGAATATCACAAATGAGCCCAAGAACAATAGTCAAAGAAAAAGAAGTGAATTTTCCCGGTATATACCACTAGAAGGACGAGATTTTTTTTTATCCTCCTGCAACAATCGCCAGGCCTTCGTAAATTTTCTTCTTAACTGCCAGAAAACTTCCCTCATCATGCTTCACGGCTGAGCGGTTAGAGAGAACGGATTGAGCGGCGCCCTCGATTTCAATTTTCCCAGTCCCAGATTTCCTTACAGCAACAAATCCATCGATTAAAAGAGTGCCTTCACCACGAAATTCGGCAGTATGGCCTGAGGATTGCATAAGTTTACGAAGGTCGGCCAGCCTGAGGTCTCCAACATGAAGTGGTCGAGTCACGGACCTTGTTGCCGCAGCCATGTTGGCGGGTAGAACATCTAGAAGTGGAAAGCTGTCCTTCTTGGGAGTCAGTGGATTCTGCTTGTTCTCCCCGGTGCCAGGAGAATTTTCTAGTAGCATCTTTTGCTTCTTTTGGGACATCTCTGGACCGTTTTCGTCGTCAGAGGCAGGCTCTGGTCCCCGCAACTCTCCCATGAGGGCAACGACTCCTAAACTTCTAACATTTTGCCACTTTAGAAGTTTGACCAAGTCTTTGCTTAGCTTTACCATCCAGGCGTTGGTGTCGACGCTTGCGTCCACCGTCTCGCCAGGTGCTGGCGTGAAGATGTCGACAACTGACTCACTAGACAACCCCAGTTCTATTCCAGCTTTCGCTGTCAGCAAATTCCGACATTCAGCAACGAGAGCCATGGTTTCGTCCTTGAGACCAGCGGTTAAGATTAACTTTCTTGGTTGTATCAGAGGAATGAGCATTTCCAAGCTGCGTTTGTCATGTAAACCAGCAAAATCTACAAAAGCGATGCGCGCATTCAATTCCAGTGTTGAATGAACAAAAGTCACCCTGGAGGGGCCCTCGACAGGTTGCTCTTCAGTGTCTTCTTCAGATGAACTTGCGTTTTCAGTGCCGTTGATTACAAGTCCACCAGCAAGCGCCATATCTCCGCTGATATCCTGTAAATCTCCGGTGCCAGGTGATACGTGCTGGCGCTTATTTGCATTTGGAGGTTTTTTACCATTAGCGTTAAGTTCCCCCCATCTTCGCTTCGGGCCAAGTCTGGTTTGGATACGTCCATCTGGACCGCGTTGTGTCTGCATTTCAGCTTCTTCCCGTTCCTCAGCTCTCAGATATTCTTCTGGCCGTATAAATTCGCCATATTCATCTCCACGTTTTTTTGGAGCAACGTATGGAAACATTCGTTCGCGGCCCTTTTTACCGCGGACATCGTAATCGTGAACATTTTTCCGTCGTAAGAGAATGTTAACACCCAGGTCAGCGTCGCTCAAGCCTAGCTTATTCCTATTGGAGTGCCCAAGGGAAACAGAGACGTTAAGCACCTTTCCTTGTTGTTCTGAGTCAGAGTCTTCAGACGACGACGAACTAGATCCATCATCAAGTGTATCGGCCGTATTTTCTAACCCAGAATCTCCAATCCCTTGAGAGGTATTTTGCAATTGCCTTTGTGTAGCCAAATACTGCTGATACATAAGAAGCTCGCTGGCATCTAAAGCACTCTTTTCAACGTCAGTGACAGATAACTTGCTTCCGCCGCTATGAACCTGCTCTAGCAGCTCTCCACTAGCGGTTTTTTCTGAAGCGACTCCATCCCTTCGTTCTTCATAAATAGACCATATCTTGTGAGCTAGCGAGGATCTCGACCCTCCATCTTCTGTTCTCTGCGCATTGGCCGAAATAGGATAGGGCTCAGTTAAAATAATAAGATTCTCAGACCCCGCAGCTATTTTTTGCAGAACGTGCTTAGAATATCCCCATTCAAGTGATGTGTCAGGCGTTAAAATTACTTGAGGCGCGTTTGATCCTAGAATTTTATCAAGTTTGGTTTTGCGTTCCACGATTTTAAGGTGCCTGAACGTAAATGGGCCAAGACCTTTAGATGCGTTATCGCTCTTTTTATCGGGGACGGAAGCTGGAGCATTTCGCTGGCTAGGGCCATCAGAACGGCCTTTACCACCACCAGTGACAGGGTCTCTGCCATGTCCCGCCTCAAATTCTCGAACGATACCTTCATCCATCCACTCTAGCATGCTTCGTGCAAGCCGCATCGTACCGTGGGCTTTCCTTCCAGCTAGGTATAGGCCTGCACCTTTTAATGGGTCCTCTCCATCTGCCGTCTCAGCTGATTCCCGCCATGCATGTTCCAAAACATATGCCAGTTCAAGAACACGCGCACTGGTATCCATCGGTATGAGGACAGTTCCACCTTTGGAAAAGCAACTCCGCAGCATATCCAAGAGAAGGTCATCTCTTCTCTTCCTCCCACCAGAGAGGGCAAGTTTATCTCCGCCTCTTGTGCTGCACACCAACGCTGTTGGTTTCCTCAATTGTTCAACGACTTCTGTTCCGCTCCCTCCGCTCCCTCCAAACCAAGCAGCACCAGCAATGACATTCTCTCTTGCTTGATTCCAGTCTACTGCATAAATAATGGATTCCATACCATGTTGGATATGCCATATAGTTCCTCCAACTGTATGACCAGCGTTATATGCCGTGAGGGTTAAACCGTTGAGAGGAGGAGAAAATGGGGAAGGCAAAGGTTGATGCGGCTGAGAATACTTCAATGGCTGAATGAGCGAGAAATATCGAGCAATTTCTTCCGTTGAAGGTGGAGGTAGAAGTATCCGGGGGCGTTCGTTCTGGTCTGTATCAGCAGATTCTGGTGAAATTGCAGTTCTAGAAGCCGCCGCTGACGTTGGGGATGAAGCTCCAGCAGTGGCTGGTGGCCAAAAAGTTGCAGCAAGAGGCGCGGAGGCATAAAGATCTTGAAGTAGACTGCGACCGAATGCGATGACTGGACTGGTTGCGTAAACGGGAATTTGTGTAAAAAGTGGAAATGTCTTGCAACAATGGGCAAATGCACCAATATGAGATGGCGTCGCATGGGTTAAAAGAATAAGTGAAAGAGTAGGGATTTGTCTAAATGTAAGGGAATAGAGGACACATCATTAGCCCAATGAAACAGCAGAAGCACCAGTAGGATATGGATATCTGTTGAGAAGTTCAAAGAAAAGCTCACCTTTCCAGTTCTGCAAGGGCAGATGTGTCAAAACTATGATCCCAACCAACGTCAACTAGTATCTTCACTCCACCATCAAGCTCTAATATCGACTGGACAGCTCTCGAGCTAGAGGATTGCGCCCCTAGCAAAGGAGTAAAGGTGAACATGGTGTTGAGTCAGACGGGGAGCGTTCAAGCCAATCCCGTGAGAGCTTCACGGTGAAAGCAATACGATTACCATGCAGACAAAAGCAGAAAGGCAGATCATTGGATTTCACGGGGAAATTGGGGCCAAATCAACTCAAACCACCAGATGAAAGAGGTAAGCAAGAGATAGATCATAGGTCCGCCATCATTAGCGCACAAATGACAATGTGTTCAATGGGGTCCGTTAGACAACGATATCAGAACTTAGTGAAAATGAATGGACATGGGTTTTGTAATCCAGGAGAAAGCGAAACTGATGCCACGGGATGTTCAGATGTTGCGCGCGATCCTTCGCGATTGAAGCTGGAATGCGGCTCTTTTACAAGACGTTAATTCTTGTTTTGTCTTGTTTGCATTTGTGCTTGGTCATTTAGTTATCAGATCATCTGATAACTAGTAAACTAGTAAAACAGTCCACTACAATCAACATCAACCTCATCTACAGAATAATGATAGATACTAAAGAATAGCAACAATAAAGGTGACTTTCTTGATATATCTCAGCTATTCAATCTAAGCTCCAATGTACAATTTTGCCGCCGGACTTTTTATTTCTTAAAGCACGGATATTCAAAGCATACCTTCTTGGATTTCCTGTGCTTTCCATGGGACCGTTGTTGAAGCCTCTGAGAGCGCTCCACAATACCTTTTGGTTTCTCAAAACCATTATCCAAATTAGATTCACATGATCCTTTAAATTCTATGGCGTACACATATGCCCTGAATATACCGTGCGGAAGTGTGCATTTTCAGGCCAACTTGAAGTGTGATCACTCCGATCAGCTGGGCACGAAGTTGGACATAGCTGGGAGTAGACGAGGGGACATCTTCGCTCCGTAGCCCATCGCCATCACGAGTATCCGATATCTGATATTCCTCTAGATTTCCCAACCCGAGCGAAAGCAATTCCAGAGTTGTACAATGAGCAAATATCAGCGCGAGAACTTACCTTGTTGAGTTGCAATCCAACTTTAAGCGGGGAATTCTGCCAAGGTTGAAAACATGTGAAGTTAATCTAGTTAACGGAATGGCTGACCCAGAACCACAGAAGTTTAAAATCTCTAAACTGATAATGACAATTTTGATAACAATGGGAAGTATTACCTAGGCTACAGGTATTCCCTGGTCCGAGATGTCCAAAGAATTGGCTTAGGGAGGTGGGAATTAAGCTTTCCCCGGGCTGAACCATTGCTCAGTCAAAGCATCCGACTGGCTAACTAGATCTGAGCCGGTCACCCACTGACTGAGTCTGTTAGCAAATCTGCAACTAGCATATTTCATAGATATTAACCTGAAATATCTATGCTCAACTACCACGAATCAAATTAATTAAAATGATACTAGGTTCAGGGCATATTTGTCTCGTGTGCTCAATTATGCTGCAATTGCTGCATCTTTGTGACACTCATGAAAATGATCTAGGCTTTAAGAGAGATGATGTGAGGGGGGTATATGACAAGCTGTACAACAGGCTGTAGCTCATTTAATTTTTCCTAACCGTGACGGGCACATTGCCAGATAAGCACGTAGAAGAACGACTCGAGGTCATGCCGGTAGGTATGATCAATATTAAGTAGCACATCAATTGCCATAAACTCCATCATGCTGGTCTGGTGCCGTGCGCCACTTCGCTTATTACCAACTTCTTTGGATAGAGCCAGATCAGTTAGCATGCCTGAGTAACCATCCTCCTTGTCCGGATCAATTATTATTATATTGTTATCTGAATTATCTCGATCAAGGATGTTCCCATCCAAGTAAAGAGACTGAGCCTTTATAGCATCGCGAAGTGCTGTGAGCAGCTCCAAGGGTGACTTGTAGTCATAGATTGGCCGGCCAGTGGGTGAGATCATCAGACAGCGGAGGACACGGTTGCCGTAGAGTTCCTCGCAATTTCTCTTGAAGAGGCTTGGCTTGTGCGCTGAATGAATCGATGTTAGTTCATTCATCTGCTGGGCGTTGACTGATGGAACGGGATCATTTGAGCACCTGCTTATCCAGAGATCTGCGTTTCCTGGAAAACGACTTGATAACCACCTGAGCTACGGAGCTCAGTGAGCGGCTGAAATTTACGAAACGAGGTCACACTGGGGGATGTGCTTTTGAAATCATAGCGCTTATCATCAAAGGTCATGCCGCGGCGCATGTCGGCAGTATGTACTGGTGATGGTACTGTGGCCAATAATCCTTGCAACCACTTGCATAATTTTTTTGGACCTGCTAGTTAGCTCAAGGAGTTCACATTCTCTCCAGGATCCAAAACCTTGGCACGTTTATGGAGAACCTGGCCGCCCTCGGGAGTACAAGGGGCAGGCCGCTTGGTGCCGGGAAATGTAGAGGGGCCTGGAGTGGGAGTACGGCGCTCTGGTGACTTGGATCTCTCAGGAAAGTCTCAATTTAGTTCGATGAGTTTTGATCTGTTTATGCTGTTCTGGTTGGTGCTGCATATTGGAGGTGTAAGTTTGTGAATAACCTGAAAGTTGGCTTCTTGGGGAAACAAGATGGGAGAACGCCATGAAGTTATAGAAGATCGGAGGATAAAAGTGATGAAAAGATGCAAGCAAGGCGAATGCAATGGGTCAAGGGTTCCCTTTTGCCTACGATCATGTTGCTCCCCTTTTCGATGTCCCTCCTCTTCACCTGAAAGGGGTATACAATCCCATTGTCAATTGCTCATTCACTGTTACTCCGCAAAGACTGAATATAGTCATTGTTGATTGAGGCATTTGAAATGCACAACAGCAAGGAAAACAGCATGAAGTGAAAGAAACGTCATTGTGTTGAACTCCAGCTGTGCAACCACTATGTTTGTAGCAAGAATTTCCTTTAGTCTAGCGGATGTCCTTACAAGCAGACAAGCAAAAACTGACAGAAGAGAGAATATGAAACAAACCTTTAAAACACTGAAGAAAGAAGATAAACAAGTGAAAGAATAATGGAACTCTCTTTCAAATAGAACGACTCTCTTTTATGATGAAATAACTCTTTGTAAATTGGTGGTCTATTTGTGACAATCAACTGCTTCACTTAGTTAACTTGTATCTTAGTTTAAATAATTTCAAAGTGATGAAAGTTTTTATTTTTTATTTTATTTTTATTTTATTTATTTATTTATTTATTATTGCACACAATATTCAGTTCACAATTTTATTCACTGAGAAGCTAATTTTTATTTTATTCCTTAACAAATAGATGCATGTACAGAGAGTATAATTATATGACATGCACACTTAAGACTATCAAATTATATTTTACTGCTTATCAATCATTAAAGATAATGTAACTAGTTATTTCTCCACTAGCTAAGTCAACCATACTCAGCCACTTTGTTCCACCACACAAATTTAATATGAGAGGCTACATATGAGACCAACACAACAGATAATAATTTCCAATACTAATTGGTGTGGTGGCACAGATGCAAAGTGACTGAGTTAAGTTGTGAAATACATTATCAACTGAAGATATTAAAACACAAGGAGAGAAAAAGAACTAGCAAAGATGTTTTTTAACATAACACAACAAATACAGACACACCTAAGTACATTCACGTAAAAAGAAATTACAAACATTAAACCATAAACTGTTAAAAAAGAAAAGGCTTTCAGAAGCAATATCATCACATGATAAAGAAGAATTGAGTAATGGCAATGAGTATCAATAATAATACCATGAAATATGAAGTACTAAAGAAAAACTAAACTATAAAGGAGAAAAACATAAGAAGAGGTAGCCAAGAACAGGGGGTAAGGAGGTGAGCGAGGAGGAGGGAAGAGGAATAAGGAAGAGGCAATAGCAAGGGAGTTGAAAGAGTGGAAAGGAAAAGTAGAAATAATAGAATCGAAACGAAAGGAAAACGAAAGGAAAACGAAATGAGAGACATAAGGGGCATTAAAAGCATAAAGAACACTCCAAATGCAAAACATTACCAAAAACATAAAACAGACAAAAGAAGGCATAAAGCGTCGCGGCGGGGTACGCATGCAAACCATGTTAATCCAATGCACCATCATCATATTCGCTCGTCGAGTCGTTACATCTTTTCCCAGAAGAAAAAGTAATAAAACGATATAAAGGGGAAAGTAAGAAGCAAGAGGGAAAATATTGTTAAAGAACAAAAACGGGAGCAAAGAAAAGCCTGGTCACGGGGGAGATGGCGAAATACGCATCGAGAGATTAAGCAAGTTGTTGGCGGAACGCGAAACGCATAGCCTGTGTGGTTCATAAGGAGGGGAGATTGATGGTTCTGCACAATTGCCTTTGGAATGGTACGGGGAGACAGGTGTCCGACTCCAATTGCCACCAGCTAAGGCGGGGAACAGATCACAGCCAAAATTCCTGTGGTATAAGGTCGAAAATGAAAATGATGCCTCCCAGCTGTGACCCCAAGTAATAACAAGATAATTCAGGCCAACTTATAAAAGGAAAAATAGGATAAATAAAAAAGGAGAAAAAGAGAACGAGACCCGTGGCGAAGGTCAATATTTGTTGTTAAAAGGCAAAACCAGCAACCTCAAGCTAATTGAGAACAGGGGAAATGGGTGTCATCAATACAAGATACAGCCACCCCAGCATCCCTAATTACTTGATGCAAAGAAAGAGATCTCAAAGAGAACATAATGATAAACCATAAAAGAAAGAATGCCTCCGCGTGTGTCGCGTATATATATGCATATATATATATATAAGAGTTGGGTCATTACATCGTAAACGGTCATCATGTATTTGAAAGAGAAAAGAAATATGAAGCTGGATTTTGATGCTAACAAGACAATGCTAAGAGGACAATAAGGAAAATATGAAAGAATTTCCCCAAAAGGGAAAAAAGGTCGCCGTCACTCCAGGAAAGTTGAAAAGTGGGTTCTAATCTGGTGTAGTGGGGATTCACGGAATTATGTCTCTTTTTTTTTTTTCTTGTTTCTTTTGTTTTAAATAAGGTCGTTCGTAAGCATGAGAAAGAGGGTTGTCAAAAGGCTCAATATTACCGTCCATCGGGAAAAGGCATCATCCATCTTATGCTTATGTTGTATACCGCTTGGAAGAATTGCTGTGAACCAAAACTATGTATACCGAAGTTTCAGGAACGAGGCGGGTAATTAAGAGAGGTGCTTCGTGGAGCATATCATCGTATCGGTTAGGGGCACCATTAGCCAACATTCCGGAATCCCGCACGTCGAGAACCCAAAGCATTTTGAAAATGGCGGGGAATGTATCCCGACGGTGCACAAAAAAAGAAACTTAAATAAAAGTGCCCATGCCCTTGTTCTCGCTCGTTGCAACTGCAACGAGAGCCTCTAAGCGCGCCATACCAGTACCCGTATGATTGCTGGAATTGCCCGAGTAGAAGACATGTCGTGGCTCGGCGTTTGGAGGATGTGGAGGATGTATAGGATAAGCGGTATTGTTAGTCTGAGATGTCTGTGGGGCACAGGGCTGCGCCGTTAGTGTTCAGTAAGCGTGTGAAAAAAAGAACAAAGAGCATAACCCTGAAGTGGAAAAGGGAGTTTTCACTTACATTATGAGTATTTTCAGACCGGACACGGGAGTGATGTCCCTCAAAATCGCCGTTGCTCGGTACGATTGTAGGATGATATTCTGGCGCAGACCCAGATGGCGTTGCTACGCCCTCACTACTGCTCGAATCCTCCGGAGACGTGTGGACGGGTTGGTGACTACTTGCCCTCATTGTTGAGAGAGGCCCATTATACCATCCATGTCTTTTATTCTGGGTGGGGGTTGTTGGTCCATTAGGGCTTGAGCCGGCAGCTGGCTGTTCGCGAGGCCTGGGTGCGTCCTGAGCCTGGCTTATCGTTGATTCATGAGGTTGTTGCTGCGGTTGGGGTTGCGGCTGCGGATGCTGGAAGGAAGTCGTAAATGGTCGTGATGCGATATTTCGGAGTTCCCCGATTGTTTGTTGACTCCATTGCGATGCGTCCTTGTTCGAGGATGAATTTCCACGGATATCGAGTTTAGTCAGGTTCTGATGAAGGGACATGTCAAATGAAAGATGAGCTCTCCGATGACCCGGTCCGGAAATGGGAGGGGGTCGAGAATTGGATGCCTGGGAGGCGAATGTCGGAGCAAAAGCAGGAGCTGCATTAGGAGGTTGTAACGGCCTATCGACTTGCATGGGGGTCGGTTCCCGTCTTGGGGGTGTAGAAGGACGTTGCTGGACATGATCAAAACTTTCAATTCCAGGCAGGCGAGGTGGAGGATTTTGAGAATGTGGATTCGGTGCAAAAGCGGGTTGGGGCCTATCAGCCGGCTGGTTGAACCAAAGTCCACTGCTTGCGGGACGGCCGAAGCCTGTTTGTGAAGATGGATGCCATGTCCTCCTACGCCAATCGGCTTCTGACGGCGACAGATGCGGCTCATCATGAGGTGTTTGCGAGGTGTTTGGGCTCCCAAAAACACTTCCGCCATTTACGTATGATGAATTCGATGGGGCCAAAGGTCGAGTGAATGAGGGTGGATATGTACTCGCTGGGTCAAATTGTCGCACACTCGAAGGGAATGACAAACGACGTCCTGAGCCCCTTTCCGCCCAAAAGGCCGAACTTGCTGAGGCGGGTGATCCGTAATAATACCCTGCCGGATCCCCGGAGGGATGCGTAGCAGAAACGGGTGTATACAGGCCGGTACTAGGAGACTGAACAGAAAATCCGTGGATCTGAGCGGGTGGGGTTCTTGGGGGAGAGTTCATGGTCTCAAGGGATAATCTGGCTCTAGCAGTGCCATCACCGGCCATCATCAGAGGTGGTGGGCGGCGACGAATCTCCTGAGACTGGCTGTAACTAGATACGGTAGATCCAATACTCGAGGTTGATAAATTCTTGCCATGGCCTCGACTATGTCCTGAGATGCTGCCAACGGTACCTGAACGGTTCCTGCCAGGTGGTCTGACTCGATCAGTGCGGATTTGACGTTGAAACCGCGTTCCTGTAGCAGCAAGGGAGTCTCCGGGGATGTCCTCATTTACGTGTACAGTCTGAGCATGCTGCCGCAAATTGTCCAGGCGTGAAAACCGTCGGGAACAATGGCATTGAAAGGGACGTTCTCCAGTATGTTTCCTACATCAAACATATTAAATTTATTTCATAAGAGTAAGATGGGGTCTTTCAGAACCATACCTTATATGGCGGGCAA